CCTCAAGAACCATGATGACAGTTTGACTACAAAAAGGCATCCCAGCGACCTCCACTTGTTCGAGGAAATGGCTGGCAACAGAAAATCCTCCACCCCTTCCTCTTTTGAAATGTCCCCAAACTGCTCGCTTGCCCCTTACAGTTAACCTCAGATGGCCAAATGTACTCAAAGACCTGTCAGTCTCTCCCTCATTCCACAAATCCTACCCTAACAGGATGTTTTCTAGTGAGACAATGTGTCAGTATTTCCTTTTTACTTAATAAAACATATTCCTTAACGCCTTCAAACCCCTGCTGAAACAAAGGTGATGGCAGAAAGGCTTTCTTGCCGCAAGCTTATGAACAGGCTTTATTAATTTTGCCTTGGTCTTAGATTTATCTTTGACACATGTGGGATGTGTATATAAGAATGCTGCCCTTAACATGCTCCTGCTTCCTGGATAAATGTGGGTTCATTTTGGTTGACGACCTTGGATTACACTAGCTTCTTAGGAACCATTGAGAAGCCATAGTTCAGGGATTCTCGTTCAGCCCTCTAATTAAATTCAGTTAATGAGGGACAGCTGACACCAAAAATGGATTAAAATTAAAATGCCAAGGACTGCACTCCCCTGGCTCCTGCCCAGAGTGTGTCAGATGAGTTCCTCGAGTTCCGTGCATGCATAGGGCAGCTTGGTTACGGAGCCGTCAGGCTGGGCTTGCCACAGCAGCTGCCGCATAGGGCACACAGGAAAACAGCTGTCAGCTTTTATTAGGAAGGTAGAAACACTTGCCAGTGGGTATGTGAGACTGGAATATTATTGGATCTGTCTACTAATTACCAGTCTTTTTTTTTCTTCCTGTTTTGGAGTGAATGCATGTACTTCTCAGTGCAGTACCTGCCCAAGATTTAAGGAAATAAATTCAGTTAACCATAAAATATGTTTATGGTATGCCATCCCTGTGATCAGCGCTGTTCTAGGTGCTAGGAGTGAATCCAGGGGAGGACAGAGAAAGGCGCGGCCTGCAAAGACCTTCCATTCCAGTGGAGACTCAAAACATGAATAAATAAATACTGTCAGCTCTCCAGAAAGCAACAAGGGGAGTGAAGTAGCCAAGTGAACGCTTGGAGGAAAATTGTAAGCTAGGGAACAGCAAGTGCCAAGGCTTTCCAACCCACTTTGAGGGGCGGTGAGTTAGGAGCGCTGGGAAAATAAGACCAGTATGGGGACAGCAGAGATGTGAAGGACAGACTCGGGTAGGGGCCAGGTAAGGCAAGGCGTGACGTTACAGGTATAGTGAGTATTAGGATGCCATTGATGGATTTCAGCAGGGGAATGATACCTATTTGTTTTTTAAAACATGTCTCAAGAAACTGGAAAATTGCCTAAAGGGGATCATGGTAGCTAGTCGCCAAAGAGGGCCGCCAGTGTTCCTCTACTTTCCTCCAGTCTGGGCTGGCCTCCTGACAGCTCTGACCATTAGCAGGGAGTGGAAGGGATGTTCTAGAACTTCCAAGCCCCGGCTTTAAGAGGACTGCCAGCTTCTACTTCCTTCCTCTTGGAACACGAGCTCTTGAGCTCAACATACAGAGAGAGGCCACTTGGAGGAGAATTGAAACTTAAGGCCCACAGTTCCAGCGAAGGACCCAGCCAACTGCCAGCGCCAACTACCAGCCAGGTTGAGTGAGCTGCCTGGACATTCCGCCCAGTTGAGCCCACAGATGTCCACAGCCCCAGCAACACCACATGAATGGAGGAACACCTCCTTCAGCTCAGGGAAACCACATAATTAGGAGATTTAATAAATTGGTTTTGAAGTGGTTTATTTCTTAGCAATGAATAACTGAAACTGGGGCAGGGGCGGAAGCAGGACACAGTGAGCCGGCTGTTGGGGTCATTTAGGTAAGAGATGATGGAGGCTTTGGCCAGACTGGTAGAAATGAGAGTGCACTTGATCATGAGACACCTTATCAATGTAACTTTCAGGCTGGACTGTGAGAGCAAGAGTCACAACAGCAAAGCAGTGGTTCCTGCCTGCCCTTCTCACTCCAGACCACTCAGTAGAGACATCTATTGGGTTGTCGGAAAAGTCATGATGCATTTTTGCAACGAAAAACATAGAAAAAATATGTACGTCATGACTTTTCCAACAACCCAATATTTTAAACTCTTAGCTCTTTCTTCTTACAGTTACTACTATATTGCACCAATTGCTTATATTGGGTTTTGTTGGTTTTGTTTTGTTTTTTTAGAAAGAAAATAAGTTTAAAGTAAACCTTTGAGTAGAAAGAGCCTTTATCAAGAAACAAAACCTTAGTAGAGATGACCACCAAAAAATAAAAATAAAAAATAAAAAACACAACTTCTGTATCATAAAAGATACCAAAAACAATTAAAAGATGAGATATGATGGAGAAAAAATATTTACAAACTGTAACTCTCATACTCGTACACTAAATATATACACAATTCTAAAGAAAAAGATAATCCAATGGAAAATAACATGAAGCTGCTCTAAGAATTTTACTTCAGGTTGCTGCGTCTTGATATATCACTTTTAAACATCTCCCCGTGTGGCCTCTCGTCCTCTAGTACACATGCCCAGGCTTCTTCACAGCTTCCAAGAAGATGAGAGGCGACACTTCACGGCCTCCTTAAAGCCTCGGCTGTGGAACCCACCCAGTGTCATTGCTGCCACCTTCTATTGGTCAAAAAATTCACAAGGCCAGCCCAGATTCAAGGGGATGAAGAAATAGACTAAGTCTCTCACTGGAAGGACCAGCCAAGTCCCATCACACCGTAGTGTGGCTATAGGCAGGGACCGTTATAACAATCACATGATGTCTACAGACGTCTTCTACCCTCACGATTGATTGTTAGTTTAGCTGGGACTATTATTCTAGATTGGGAACTATTTCCCCTAAGAGTTAAGGATCTGCTGCACTGTCTTGTAGTTTCCAGTATTGAGAAGGGTGATGCCTGTTTTAATTTTTGTTCCTATGTATATGATCTACTGTAGTCCTCTCTGAAATCTTTCCGGATCTTCTGCTTATCTATGGTATGATGAAATTTTATAGTATGGCCTTTGTGTGAGTCTTCTTTTATTCTTCTTTTATTTCCTCCTCCTCCTGTTTTTCATTTACTGTGCTGGACATTTGCAAAGTCATTTTAGTCTAGAAACGTGTCCTTCAGTTTAGAAGTTTGTATATTATTTCTTTGATAGCTATATTTTACACAAATATATTTTCTCACAAAACATTAGCAGAGTGGTATTATTTTACATTTTTGCAAATCTCTTTAATGCTTGGCTTAATAAAAGACAGCTGAATTCTCACATTACTTATGTATTCCATCTGTTGCAATGTGTTGTTTTAGTTTAAGTATACGAAGAAATTCCAACTAGACACATTTTAAAAGGAGCTTGTGTCTGAACAGATAGATAGTACAGAAACCAATATAACTAGAAACCTGGCAACCATCTTGTTATCTTCGGACTTTGCTAAATGGGAAATATTCAGTCATCTTTTTTGAAAAGAATACATCCAACCTTGCATTGGTAGAAAATAAAACTGACATTGTATAAAAACCACTCAGTACTTCATTTGGAAGACTGAATGTATAAGTTAGTAAAGAGAGCAGTCAGAGAAATCATGTATCCACTATGTAAATAAAACTAGCCAAGAGACAATCTACAAGGCCAGCTCTCCCACTAACTGATCTGACAGTTGCCATTGCAAAGTGAATCAGCTGCCCAGAGTAACGAACTTCTTCCACCAGGGACATGAGTGCATGGAGTGGACAGAAGACAAACCTTCGAGAACCTGAGGGTGTGGATACAACTGTTTAGTGAGGTACTCAACTCATCACTAGGTATTCAACATGGAGGGATGGTGATAGTTATGTAGGACTGTGAGCTGGTAGTTATTCTTGCATATGATGAAAAAGAGCATGTCCATAGATGAAAAAAATGAATACCTTCAGGGCCTGTGAGACAGTACCAAAATACATTTATGTCACTGGAGTCCCAGAAGCAGAAGAGAAAGAGTGGAGTGCAATAAACATATTAAAGACGTGATCACTGAAAGCTCCCCAAATTTAGCAAGACAAATCAACAGATTTAAGAAGCTGAGTGAACCCCAAACCAAGAAGATATAAAAATCTTAAAACAGCATGTACTAAAAGACAAATTCGCGGGCCGGCCAAGTGGCTCAGTTGGTTAAGAGCTCGCTCAAGAGTTTGAGCTCTGAGCAACAGCGGTTCGAGTCCAGCCCNGTCCTGGTCAGGTTTGGTGACTCCGGCTCCTCCATCTGGCATTCCTACCAGGAAGGAGCCTCTGACATTTTACACAGCCTCCCTCTGCCCAAAGGTCTGCACCTACTCCAGACCCTCTTTCCTGTTCTTCGAGAGCTGTGTCCTTTGAACGTAAATGTACCTGAGGGAGCCTTGGCGTTATCCCGATTTGGGAACAGGCTTTCTGTAAACCTGGTAGGATGGAGGGCTACGAGTCACCGTTACCTAAGCCTCTCCATGCACTGCCAAAGAACATCTCACAGCTTCTTGGAAATTGGAAACGTCTTGAAGGAAAGCCCAAGGACACACCCAGAAAGTTACAGATTTGAGTGATTGAGTGACAACTGCAGACATTTTTTAAGTCTTTTCAGCATGGGGAATACCAGCTTAGGGCTTTGCACATTGAAGTCACTTAGGAAGCTTGTAAGACTTGCCTGGTGCCCAGGCCACACCCTGGACCACTGCCTTTTCTGCTGTCCCCAGCAAGGTAAACTTAACCTTAGGTTTAAAACAAAAAACAAAAAACCATTTAAGCCGGAGGGAGTTTGCTCGTCTTGGGATCCAGCCCAAGCCCAGCTGGCCTTCCCCAGCTGGGGCAGAAGTGGCTTGGTCCAAGTAAGACCTCGCAGCTTTGGGGAAGGGACCTCGTGTGGTGGCCAGCCTTGTGGCTGTCCCCACTGCACACAGAGCACTGAGTTGCTGGAACTGACAAATTTTCTGTCCCCAACAGATGTGCCATGGAGGGATCTGGCGCCCCCAGACGCGCACACGCGGATCTGGACGGAGCTTTTCCTGATGTTCCCTACACTCTTTGTATAAACATCTGCCCCGACTGAATGTGTCTGTCACCCAGCTTCGCTCTCCCCCTTTCTCCTCGGGTGTGTGTTGGCCTGAACTATATGCCATAAACCTCAAGCTACTCATTTTATTTTGTTTTTGTTTTGGGGTGAAGATTCAGTTTCAGTCTTTTGGACCTAGGTTTCCAATTAAGTATTAGTCAGGTNTCCACAACTAGACTGAAGAACAAAAAATGACAGCAACTTGTCTGTTCCCCTTCCCCCAATTCCCCAATAAAAATCTTAAAAACAAAAACAAAAACCCGAGTTCATGGTCACAGACAACAGACTGATGGTTGCCAGAGGCCAGGGGTGATGGCGGGGGGGTGGGGGGGGGATGAGTGAAGAAAGCTAAAAAGGACAAACTTCCAGCTATAAAGTGAGTCATAGGGAAGTAATGTACAGCATGGCCACTCTTGTCTATAAACACTATTGTATATTTGAAAGTTGCTAAGAGAGTAGATCTTAAAAATCCTTATCACAAGAACAAGAAATTTGTAACACTGTGTGGTGATGGATGTTAACTAGACTTACTGTGGCGATCATTTCACAATATGTACAAACATCAAATCATGTTGTACACTGAAAACTAATAAAATGCTATATGTCAACTATACCTGTGTTTAAAAATAAAAGGCTTGGTGGCAGAGCAATAAGTCGGCCTTTTTCTCTGCTCTGGAAGGATCCCACCTACTCAGAAAAAGTAGCAGCAACAGGGCGGCCCCACAGGGAACCCAGGGGAAAGGGAAAAGCCGGACCACGACCTGCTGCACCTGCTCCTGCCCCGGGCAGGGAATGAGGCTGCCTTTCAACAACCTCAGCTGCAGCACAGTCCACCGGAAAGGAAAGGGCTGAGAGACAGGATGGAAAAAAGGATGTCATTTCAGGTCCCGGCCCAGGCTGTAAGGCCTCTGCAACCGCTGGACACTGGGAAGGCCGGGGAGAGATGTGGCCACAGTGGCAGCCACTAGGCAACTCCAGTGGCAGGGTCATTGGGGCGTGGGGGTCATCCAGAGCATCGGAGATCAGCCCCTTCACATAAGGGGCCCCTGCCGAACATTAAAGGCCTAAGGATAACTAGGTAGCTGGAGCAGGAGGAGTGACAGGAGGTGAGGTGGGCCTGACCCACCCAGCACCAGCATGGGCTAACTCCCAGAGAGTGCCCAGGGTTGGAGCAGAGGTGCTTTTGTCACTTGTGTCTGCCCCTGGGCCTGACAGGTCCATCATCCAGGCTGAGGAAAGATGAAAAGAATGACTCATCCCATCTGAAGCATAGAGAGGGTGTGACTTCCTAAAGACACACCACAGCATGTGATAACTGAGGTAGGCCTAGGACTCAGAAGCAATGGCTCCTTTTTGGGCTCTCTCTCTCCCTCCCTCACGCACCCCTTTCTGGGGTTGCCCAGTGTGATATCTTGTTATGATCATCAAAATGACACCATGACCTGAGCACCGTGGAGTACTGAGGGTGGGCAGAGGGAGGTCCACCTGGTACAGGCAACGAGGGGACGTCATCTGTAAAGACTTTAAAGGCAATAATTAAACCCCTAAACATGGCCTCCCTTTTACGATTATTCTGCTCTGGTAATTCTAACCAAAGTAGAATCAATTACTCCTCCTGGTAAAAATCTTAAGTTTAAGTTTTAAACAATCACTGCAATTACTGTTAAGTTTTAATAATATGATGTAAGCACATTTTAAAACTACTTTTTTTATAAATAAATTTAACCAAGGAGGTAAAAGACCTGTACTTGGAAAATTATAAGACATTGAAAAAAGAAATTGAAGAAGATACAAGTAAATGGAAGCATATACCATGCTCATGGATAGGAAGGATTAATATAGTTAAAATGTCCATACTACCCAAAGCAATCTATAGATTCAATGCAATCCCTGTCAAAATCCCAATGGCTTTTTTCATAGAACTAGAACAAATAATCCTAAAATTCATATGGAACCATAAAAGACCCTGAATAGCCATGGCAATCTTGAAAAAGAACAAAGTTGGAGGTATCACACTACCTGATATCAAACTATACTATAAGGCCTTAGTAATCAAAACACCATGTTACTGGCATTAAAACAGACACATAGATCAATGGAACAGAATAGAAAGCCCAGGAATAAACTTATGCCTATATGGTCACTTAATCTATGACAAATTAGGCAAGAATATACAATGGGGTAAAGACAGTCTATTCAATAAATGATGATGGGAGAACTAGACAGATACATGCAGAAAAATGAAACTGGACCACTTCCTACTCCATATACAAGAATAAATTCAAAATGGATTAAAGACTTAAATGTAAGACCTGAAACCATAAAACTAGAAGAAAACACAGGCAGTAAACTCTCTGACATTACCCTTAGTAATGTTTTTTCTGATCTAGCTCCTTGGAAAGGGAAATAAAAGAAAAATAAACAAATGGGACTACATCAAACTGGAAAGGTTTTTCACAACAAAGGAAATCATCAATAAAACAAAAAGACAACCTACTGAATGGGAGAAGGTATTCGCCAATGATACATCTGATAAGGGTTTAATATCCAAAATTTATAAAGAACTCATACAACTCACCACCAAAAGAAGATTAAAAAATGGGCAGAGGACCCAATAGACATTTCTCCAAATAGGACATACAGATGATCAATAGAGATATGAAAAGATACTCAATGTCACTAATCATGAGAGAAATGCAAATTAAAGCCACAATGAGATATCCCCTCGCACCTGTCAGAATGGCTATCATTAATAAATCAACAAATGGCAAGTGCTGGTGAGGATGTGGAGAAAAGGGAACCCTTGTGCACTGTTGGTGGAATTGCAAATTGGTGCAGCCACTATGGAAAATAGTATGGAGTTTCCCTAAATAATTAAAAATAGAACTAGCTTATGACCCAGAAATTCCACTTCTGAGTATTTATCCAAAGAAATCCAAAACACTAATTCGAAAAGATATATGCACCCCTGTGTTCACTGCAGCAGCATGTACAATAGCCAAGATATGGAAGCAACCCAAGTGCCCATCAATAAACAATTTGATAAAGAAGATGTGAAATCTTACCATTTGCAACAACACGGGTGGACCTAGAGGGTATTATGCTAAGTGAAATAAGTCAGACAGAGAGAGACAAATACCATATGATCTTATTTGTGGAATCTAAAGGACAAAATCAACAACAACAAAACAGAAACAGGCTCATAGATACAGAGAACAAACTGATGGTTACCAGATGGGAAGGGGTTGGGGAACTGGGTGAAAAAGATGAAGGGTTTAAGAATTATAAATTGGTAGTTACAAAATAGTCATGGGGATGTAATGTACAGCATGGGGAATATATTCAATAATATGATAATTATGCATAGTGCCAGTTGGGTACTAGACTTATCGGAGGGGATCACTTCATAAATTATATAAATGTCTAACCACTACGCTGTACACCTGAAACTAATATAAAATAATGTTGAATGTCCACGATAATTGAAAAAAAATAAAAAAGTAAATAAAGCTGCTTTTCCTGTAATAAACACTGCATTCCACATGGCAGCGAATCCAGAGAACTTTCATTTAGACACTTGGCTCCCAACTCACCCGACTCAGCTACAGGCATTTGTTTCAAGTTTGGTAACAATTTGGAGTGGTTAAACTTGCAGCAGACACAGGTGGTGCTCCATCCGGTGTTCCACACACCCTGCATTTAAACAGTGAATGTGAAACAAGCAATGACAGCACTGTGGTTGTGAGAGACAAACAGCACCGGAGCGACCTCATGCTGTCATTCCATGTGCAAATCACACTCTGGACCTCATGGGCTCACTCTTTGTGCAAGTGTTTCTTAATGTGTTGTTTTTCCTTTTTGAAAAAAAAAATACATGAATGTAACTTAAAAGTATTCATTCATTACTGTTTTCCCTTTTTTTGCTATACTGTATTTAGTTGTTTTTCACTGCCCCAATTATATAGGTGTGAAATCCAATAAAAGAAAATTTTCACTATCTGCAGTTTTCTGACCATCCTTATCACGCATTTTATTTTGTGATTATTAATGCTTATTTCTGATTATAAATAATTATGTTGCGTGGCGGTGGGCTGAAAACAGCTGGTGGGTGAAGGCTAACTCCGTGTCAGGCTGACTTCACCAGGAACTTCACATCGACCTCATGAGATGGACTTCTACAGCCCCTTTTACAAGTGAGGAAACTGAGGCTCAGTGAGGGGGGATATGAACCCAGGATTACAGTTAATAAGTGGCAGAAGGAAGATTCAAACCCAAGGTCAGCCAGCCTCCAAAGCGCATGTCTGAAATGCCAGTGAGTGTTGAGACCCTGCCAGAGCAAGGCACAGGGACGTGAGCAGGATGGTCAAGGAGGGCTTCTTGGAGGATGAGGTGCTGGGAGAGACATCTACAGTGAAGCATCAAGACCACGTGAGGAGCCAGGGAACAGGTTCCAGCTCGAGCCCTGTCACTCCCCACCTATATGGCCTTGGAGTTCTCGCTCTAGAGTTTTCAAAGGCCCAGGATTCCACAGATCAGACTTAGATAGTCTGATCAGACTTAGACAGTGGTCTGGGCGGTGAACTTGACTGGTGAATATGACCTTATCCTGCCCATGTCTAAGACCTGGACGCCAAGTTCCCCTGGCCCACCCCCACTCCCTGCACCCCTGGGGTTAAGATCCCATCCTCTGGCTGGAAGTCCAGATGGCATTATGGCTAAGGACATGAGCCCAGCCTGGGGTCCCAGGTCCACCATCTCCTACCCAGATGAGTGACCTCGGACATGCCACTTCTTGTCCCCAATCTCAGTGTCCTAAACCATAAAGTAGGCTCATCAATATTGACTTCAAAGGGTATTTGTGAGAATTAAACAAAATAATAATACCTGCTACAGATTGGACAAGTCTGACATGCCAACACTGTTCTAAGAATTTTATATTAATTTTTCTCATTAAATCTTCCCAACAACTCTATGAGGCTATTTTTGTCACTTATAGACGTGGCAATTGAGGACTTGAGTGGTGAGGTTACTTGCCCCATGTCATACCTCTGTTCTGTTGAGCTCAGTGCCTGACTCACAGGAAATGGTAACTATGATCGCAATTCGTTCTGACACACTTGCCCTATCCCCCCCCCCCTGCACACAGCTTAACGTTTCTGGAATGGGG